AAGCAGGAGCTAAAACTAAAATCGGATCCTACTGGTCTCCTCCTCTAGGTTCCCCCTTGGTCTTAGAGAGTGTAGAAGAAAAAGAGTTGAGAAGTGAAAAATGTGCTTTTGGGAGTGCCAGAGCGTTCTATTCATAGGCATCAGGAGTGGCCAGAACGACCCCTTTCAAATCCTGAACGGCCCGTTCTGGACTCATTCGTCATGCTTAAATTTCATATCCAGAACGGCTCGTTCTTAAACCAGAACGGCCCGTTCTGGGATTATAATTTAACCCACAACGACCATGTTTAGAACGGCCCGTTCCCAAAGTAAAACAACCCGTTCTGAGTTCGCATATTGCTCATAAAATCCTGTGTTGAAACGGCCCGTTCTAGTCTATGGTTTAAAGGCCATTTTAGTAGTTTAGAATGACCCGTTCCAGTTTGGGAACAGCCCGTTCTAGGTTACTAAAAATCAAAATATTTTTCAAAAAATAATTTTCATAAATATAAAAATAAATAATAATTAACCCTTATACTAGTAGAAAATTTGGGATGCTACATAATGAGGTTATAATCTTGAATGCTATAATACGTGATAAACAAATAACGAGGATGTACAGTGATGATGTGTGCATGATATTGTTCTAATGAAGACATGATGTATAAGGTGATATTGATGAGATGTGTAAATCAAGACATCAATTGGTAATGATGAGATCCAAGCTAGGCTTGGTGTTTTGTGGAAAAGTTTAGGATTGTAGTTTGACAAAGAATCACCAAATGATTATTGCATATGTATGTTGTGTTTTTGTGTTTTGTAGAGTCCATGATTCATGTTATGTTGGAAGGTAATGTGAGTCTACCTGGGAGGGTCTTGAAGGTCATCCACCTAGACCATGAGGGTGTTATGATAAGGAGCCTCTAACATGCGTATGAGGTAATAATCATAGTTGACTATAACACTTCAACAGTATCTTGATTGATGTCCCTTTATTGAGGATGGATTAGGCGGAATACCTATGTTGGAGTGGTTCTATTCCATGGCTCTTAGGCTGTCTTGATTTGGAAATGATTAGGAGATTAGCACCACATGAATATGTGTCTATTACATGCATTTGCACAAATACTATTTTATAATTGAAGTATTCTTGAGTAGAATGAATAGTTGTGGTGGATCATAAGTATATGTGATTTGATTGATATTTGAATATGAATGAGATTTAATCTCATGAATGTGAATATACTAATATGGAAATAATTGAAGTTATTATATGTTTGGTTAGTACTATCCTATGCCTTGTATGTGTTATACATTGATGAGACATATTCTCACTCCCTATTTGTTGTTGTTGTGTGTGTTTAGGTCAATCTTCACTTGAAAGATTAGCTCAGGTACTTAAGAATGAATTTGATGGGGGTGAAGTTAGGGCTTCCATGGTTTCTTCTGGCCCTTGCTTTGATAATTTGATATCAGAGAATAGAGTTATCATTTTGCATTTATAATTGTTAATCATGGTTTGTTTGAGTTTTTGAGAAATGGAATGCAAAAGTTTACATATTTTAACATAAAGACATCTTCAAAATAATTAAAATGACACAACATGTTAAATTTAACTAAATAATAATAATAGTAATAATAATAATAATAATAATACATAAATTAATTGGTTTGGTTTGGAATTTAAAAGTGTAAATCCGATAACTAAGCCAATGAACATTAGATTTAATTGGCTTGGTTTGGGTTAAATTCATTCAAAACAAAAATATGAACCAATTTAAATGGTTCGGATCAAATTGTCAGGTTTGTCGAGTTGATTTGATCATATGAACACCTCTACTTAGCGGCTTGTGTTCCTTAACCATGTTGTCTAGGAATTAACTCCTTTTGAAATCTTCATAATAAGAGTTGATCTATTCATTAAAAGCTTTTAATTTAATGATTGAACTATTAAAATTTAATGTAGACCTTGAGTGATTAAGTAGAGTAACTCTACTAAGAGTCACACTCGAAGTAAGTAGATATTTTCCCATATATATATAAATATGTGTGTGTATGTATGTATGATTAAAATCTAAAACAACTCAATGAGTTGGATTTTGTATTTTCAATAATAAAATTTGATATCCAATACTTAAAGAACAATGAGTTTGATTGGATTGAATTGTATTATACCCAAAAAGTCTAAAAATCCAAATCAAAGTACTTGGGTTGAGTTAGATAGATTTGGATTCATGATTACTTGTACTGTGAACACACATCATTAATTAAGTAGATAAATAAATTTTATTCAAAATTCTAGAAAAATTATTGATAACATTAATTAATAGATGAAATTAAAGACTAGTACTTTAGTTCCTTTATAATAGTCTTTTTAAAATTGTACATAAATTAAGAAATGTAATAAGTTTTTCTACTTTTCATAGCAAATTCTTTTTATGCTTTTTATTATATCATCTTTCATTTTTTTTTAATAAATTCATACTAGTTATCATGTGTAATTAATGAAAAGTTAAGTAACATAAATAATTGACAAATAATAATTAACGTTGTCTTGAACTTTGAAAACGACATGTAAATAAAAATAAAATTTTACTAAAAATTGACAAGTTAAAAAGACCGGAGGGAATATTTACTAGATATTAGTCTTTAAATATTTTAGTATTCATCTTTTATTAAAAAATAATTAATGCTTCATAATTTTAAAGTTAAATTAATGTTAATTTTGAAATTTATCCTTAATTATATCCTATATTAATATTTTAGGCATCAATTAATGATCAATATATTAAATATGAATTGTTTAGCCAAACTATAATAATATTTGACTTCTATTGAATGTTCCCTCTATTTTGAATTAATTATAAGCAAAACACACACATATTTTTTGGTTCATAAATATAAACAAATGTTAGTTACTTTTGTCTCATTGAATGATACTCTCTCTAGAGTGTCTCACATTTAATCTATGACTTTTTAGTTGCATTACTTATTTTTTTTTGTTTTTATAACAAGGAAAATTTATGAAGAATATTATACATCAGTAAAATTTAATACATTTAGCTAATTTCTTAATATGTGTAAAATCATTTTTTCGCTTAGAATATATAAACACTACTAGAAAAGTATTATTTTTTTACAAATTTTTCTACAAAAAATTATTCGCAAATTTTTTTTTGCGAATTTTCTTGCAATAATAATTTCACAAATTTTATAATTTACAGATATTTCTTACAAATTTTTTTATGAAAAAATAATCTACAAGAAATTTTTGCAAAATTTACTACAATTTTAATGATCGTAGAAATTTTTTTCCATGGTAAAAATTTGTAGAAAATATTGTAAGAATTTTATTTTGTTTCTTGCAGATTTTTTTTACAAAAATAAATTCGCAAGTAGTGTTTTCTAAATGGTAGAAATTTTTTGCAGGTAATTTTTCCTGCCAATTTTCCTGCCAATTTTAATCCGTAGGAAAAATAAAAAAATATGTAAATTTATAAGTTTAATATTTTAAAAAAACTTTCAAGTCCCACATCGATTGAAAATAAAATAATTAAAGAGTATATAAGTTGGGGCAACACTTACCTTACAAGTTGATTTGTATGGTTGAGTGTTAGGCTTATAATCTACAATCTTACAATTTAAAAGATTATGTCTCACATGTTGAATTCATTATGAGCATTTGAAAATTGAAGAATTATTGAAAGAATTTATAGTAATTTCTTTAATTTTTTTACAAAAAATATTCCTGTAGAATTTCTTGCGAAAAAATTCGCAGGAAACTTTCCTGCGAAATTTTTTTCTCAGGAAACTTTCTTGCGAATTTTTTTCGCAAGAAATTTCACAGGAAAATTTCTTGCGAATTTTAAAATTCGTAAAAGTATATTATCTACGAAAGTATTACCCGCAGATAAAATTTCACAGAAAATTTTTGAAGGAAGAACATTTCCTACGAATTTTTATGAAAAATTTGCAAGAAAAGTCGCATGTAATAAGAGAAATTCTAGTAGTGAAAGAAGGGAGTACTTTCTTTGTCCCAAAATGGTGTGAATTTAAGGTTTTATATAAAAATTAAAAATAATATTAAATATATGACTTTTTAATACAATTTTAGTAAATTAACTAAACTTCTCAATAAATGCATTACTGTAGTAATTAATTATTATTCCAAAATTAATATATTTGATTAAACTCATGCATGATCCAAGTCCCGATGATGATTAGTAACTACTCCCTCCATTTTTTATTCATAGTCATTTTGTCAGAATTTATCATTTTTTTATTGTCATTTTACTAAAATCAATGAATTATTAATTTTTTTTTTCTCATTTTTACCCTTGATAATTAATGTATGTTTACTGAACAATGTGCCTATTTATTTCTAATGTCTACCTATTTTTCTCCAACTACCTATGTAAAGTTAATGTTACATTTAAAAGGGCAATATGTTTCCAACGAAATACTATAAAAAAATAGAGGTGTAGAATATGAAATTAAGTAATAAATATTTTTGAAAACTAAAATATCAATCATTTTCTTAAGTCTCGTGCAAAACCTTAAACGACTATGAATAAAAAACGGAGGGAGTATCATAGCTTGTGAAAGAGTTAATCACTTATACACTGTCAGTGTAAAAAAATTTTACATTGGCAACCAATTATATCCTTTAATTGTGTCATGTCACTGTCAAAAGTAAATGTGTTTACAGTGACATGACACAATTAAAGAATATAATTAGTTGTCAGTGTAAAAAAACTTTACACTGCAGGCAGTATATAAGTGATTAACTCAAACTTCAAACCAATAATATGGTTATAAAAAATAGAAAGTGTATTATTTTAAATTACAAAAAAATTTATTGATAACATTAATTAATAGATGACAATAAATGATGTTATTTATTTTTTTTGTTGATATTAAATGTTATATTTTGATTGTATTCAATATTGATAGTTTTAAATTAGATTCACAACTTTTTCTTTTCTAGGATATTTTGTGCCTTTAAATTAGAATTGTGGAACTTTGGTCTCAAAGAACATAGGCAAAATGACAGAAGAAGATCGCAAACGTACATTGGTAATGGAGAAGCTGAAGAACTCTGTGTTGTTTCGACTTAAAGCATTGAACCCTTCCGCTTCCATCAACTCTACCCATGCTTCCTTTATTCAAGATCGTCTTCAACATGTTTTCAAATCCTTTCACACCCCCACACACCCCCCTTATGCTCAGGTATATATTCTCTCTCTCTCTCTTTCCATTACCTAGCTTATGCATGTTCCTTTTTCTAAATCTTGTTTTATTGTTTTTGTTTGATGTTGCATGACCTTGGTTTAAGTTATATGATTCTTATGGCTTTCATGATACCTTTGGACCAGACTAAAAAGATAAAACGAAAGAAAATATAAATTAAGTTTTTTTAAAATAAAATAATAAAAAGTAAAAAGTATTTCAAAAATAAAATGAGTTTTTTTGAATTTAAAATTTAACATTTTATCCATCCAGATTTTTTTTATTTTTTATTTTAAATTTGTTTGAATGCAAGCTACGAACATTTTTTGAGTTTTTCTATTATAAATAAAGAGTATTTTTTAATAAAGAAGCTCTCACAAGCACTTCTATTCTTGCATTCAAACAAGCTCTTTAATTCATGATTTCATGTACAAATGCACTTTATACTTCAAAATAGGTTGAGTTGATGATAACAACTAATACCTTCTAGTTGTAAAAAAAAGTTTTATTCTTGTTTATTTATTTAATGGATCAAGCGTACAATTTATTATCAAAACCTTATTTTTCATTTTTTGTTTTGGGGTTGATGTGTTGTGTAGATGATAAAAAGAGCAATAATGGAGTTAAAGGAGGAAAGTGGGTCAACTGAGGAGGCAATTTCAGAGTTTATTAGAAGGGAGTATGAGGATCTGCCTTTGGCCCATGGGACGGTTCTTAATGTTCATTTAAGGAAGCTTTGCCTCGACGGGATTCTTGTGTGTAAAGAGACTGGGAGGTATGTGCTTCTTGTTGATTGTGATAATGAGAAGGATAACCCTAACCAAAGGAGAAAGAGAAATGGCTTGCACATTGAATGAATAGCGGAAGAACAACAAGTACTTGACTTATGTAAGTTTTGGATGTTAATGTTGTTAATTGATTGTTATCCTTCATAATTGTGTTGTTATAGTTTGTGGCAAAAGTTTTTTGTCGTGTCTATGAATATGACCTTTTGGAATCCTCATAAAATTGGGTTTATGCTTCTACATATCACATACCGAAACAACATTGGTTTGCACTTGTGTTAGTAGTAGGAGTGTTCATGAGTTGGGTTTGAGTAAAAATCAAATCCAAACTAATTGAACTTAATTGGTTTGGATTGTAATTTAGAATTTTTGTTGCCTGATCCAAATGGAACTAACCCAATGTTGATCGGATTAGTTCAATTCAAGTCATTGACTATCCAATTAAATTCTTTTAAAAAGAGATATTTTCTCAAAGTAAACATATTTTTCAATATTAACTAAATTAACAGATTGTCAAAAATTAACTAAATTTACAAAGTTGTAATATAGTTCCTCTTGGTTTTGTCTTAGGGTTTCAAATGCTCTACAATGTGTAATATCCTATTTTTTAAGACAAAAAAATAAAGTTGTTAAATAATATTTACAATATAGTCTTGATTAATTTATTTAATTGAGGTTATAGCATAAATAAGGATGTTTTTAATAAATAAAATAAAGTGTAAAAGGTAGGTTAAAGAAGAGCCTATGCATTTGAACTCTAAAGCCCAAGCCAAAGTCTTATTAAGAAAAAATAAGTAGATGAAGGGTTAGGTTAGATAATGTATAAGTTTTCTATGACCCTAAGAGTGTTTACAAAGAACACGTCATAAGAGAGACAACAATACAGATGGTACATGTTAATTCAATGGATCTAAGTGACACATCATAGAGAAAATCTGAGAAGAGAACCTTGAGGAACATGTGGACTAGTCTCAAAATACAAAGAATGTGCCCATTGCTTTGGAGATCATCATCTAAGATAAAAAGGAGTAAGAATGTCTCATGGACATGTGTGAGGGATACGAGTAGTGAGTCAATCCTTAAGTATCTTAAAATGTTAATTGAATTATTTTGGATGCATATTTTTATGTTCTTGAATTGATCCATCACCTTGTCTTGGTAAATTTGTCAATTGTGATTATTGATTCAAATGGATCTATGTATTAGGGGTTAGGATTAGATGTATGATTTAGGAATTTGGAGTGATTTGTTTAATTATGAAAATTCTTGTATGAACATATCTTGATATTTAGGTGATTTCTATCTGCGTGATTAACCAAATAGAATTCCATTTGTTGAGTCGAAAAGTAAACACTTGGAGATACTGTTTAGCCTCAAGAATCACATAAAAATATTAAGAAATAACCGAATTATGTGAGTCACAAGATGAGCCTCATGTTTTGTGAGTTAAACATAATGTCTGCAATTTGTAAGCCTTGTAAGAACCTTTATATGATCGAATTAGGTTTCATGATATTCATAAGACTTGTATCCTTGGATGTTAGCTTTCTAAGGGACCTACAATCACCAAATAGGAGGTTTATAACTTACATTATGATTAAATTAGTGAGCGAGAGGAAAATTGCCAAAATTAGGCTAAATTATTGTAATTTTGTCATTTTAAAAAAAATAATAGATGGTAAAATCAACTCTTGGGATCAACATAGAAGTTATAGATAATTATCTTAGATTTATAATAAAATTAATATCAAATTGATAAAATAGATACAATTTTAGATATCACGTTTATACCATAGGATGTCATAAAACCTAAAGAAAAGAAGAGATAATTTGTAAATTATAATGGTGAATTGTTTTATTCATTAAGTGCCTATATGTGATATAAGTAATGGTAAGGTATAATGTTATGATTTGTGATGATGATGATATTTGAGTTTCAATGATGAGGTTATGATAAGTATGATTTAATGTTGAATGTTATAATATGATAAACAAATAACGAGAATGTATAGTGACAATATGTGTATGAGATGGTGTTAATGAAAAGATGATGCATAGGGTGATGTTGATGAGATGTGTAAATCTTGCATATAGTTAGGAATAATAAGGTCCAAGCTATGCTTGGTATTCTGTTGAGAAGTTTAGGGTTGTGGTTTGGTAAAGAATCACCAAATGATTATTGCATATGTATGTTTTGTAGTTGTGTTTTGTAGAGTCCATGCATTCATGTTTTGTTGCAAGGTAGTGTGAGTTAATGGGAAAGGGTCTCGAAGGTCATCTATCTAGACCTTGAGGGTGTTATAGTAAGGAGCCTCTAATAGATCTATAAGGTGATTGTGGCTGACTATAACATTTTGACAATATCTTGATAAATGTCTCCTAGTTAAGGATGGATCTAGAGGATCACTTATGGCGTGGTGGTTCCATTCCATGGCTCTTTGGCAACCTTGATTTTGTGATGATTAGGCGATTAGTACCACATGAAGATGAGTCTGTTATATGCATTTACATTAATATTATTTTATAATGGAAGTATTCTTGAGTAGAAGGAATAATTGTGGTGGATCATGAATATATGTGATTTGATTGATATTTGAATATGAATGAACTTTGATCTTGTGAACGTGAATATACCTGTATGGATATAATTGAAGTCATTGTATGTTTGGTTAGTGCTAATGTATGTATTGTATATGCTATGCATTGATGAGACATATTCTCACTTTCTACTTGTTGTTTTTGTTGTTGTTATGTGTGTGTGTTTTGATTGCCACTTGCAGGATTAGATCAAGTACACAAGGATGAATTTGATGGAAGCAAAGCTTAGGGCTTCCGTGGTTACTTTGGATCCTTGAAATGATAATGTGACATCAGGACATAGAGTTATTATTTTGCATTTTATAATTGTAGTGAATTCTATTTATGATGATTTCATTTCTATTGGAGTTTGTGTAAACAAGTGGTTTGCGTCTAGTTTTTATTACTTTTGAATGTTTAATTATGTTTTTAATTTAAGATTTTTATTATGATGGATTTGTGAACCTGTTTAGTGTTAAACTAATTCTAAATTTATTTTTATTAAAATATTTTAACTTAGTTGTCTTTTAGAAAGAAAAATCCTTATTTATTATGCTTTGGGTAGAAGGGTGTCATACAATGCACAAAGATGACTCTTAATATATTGCCTTATAGTTTATCTTGATTTTTTTATTCTTTGTGAAAAAGAATGAAAAAATCTATATATTTTAACACAAAAGCATCTTTAAAGTAATCAAAACGATTCATGTTAATTTTCAACTAAATAAAAATAAAAATAAATAATAAATAATAAATAAAATACATAATAAATGGTTTGGTTCATATTATATATGTGTAAATCTAATACTTGAATCAATCAACATTGGATTTAATGGTTTAGTTTGGGTAGGACCCATTCAAAACAAAAATCTGAACCCATTTAAATGGTTTGGTTTAGATAGTCAAGTTTGTCAATTTAATCTGATATGATAAACACACTTAGTTAGCGGCTTGTGTCCCTTAACTAAGTTGTTTAGGAATGAAATCATTTTGACCTTGTATATGAAATCGACTATGTTGGAGGAAGAATATCTACTTTCTATGTGTTCACAATCTCTATCGAAGATTAATCTCTATTTTTTGTAGTGTCTATAGTTGTGACCTTTTGAAATCTTCATAGTATTGGATTTACACTTCTTCACATTACATAACGATGATATACAAGTATCTCTATATATCAAATTAGTCACTCCACTAACAAATATTGTTACTCACTTTTTATCTTATCATCTATTTATTACTATATTTATCAGTCTTTTGCCTTTTTAGGTGTTAAAAAAGGATTAAATAAGTTTTTAGTCCTTAACTTTTGTCAATTTTTGATTTTGGTCATTGAAAAAATCATATTTAGTTTTAATCTCTAAAAATTTATCCCATGAACAAAAAAAAAATATGTTAAGGATCAAAATATTAACAAGAAAAAAAAAGTTTAAGGAGTAAAAGTGAAAATACCTAAAAATTGAGAGAATTAAATTAATATAAAAATTATTGAGGGACTAAAATAAAAAAATTGATAAAAGTTTAAGGACTAACAACATATTAATCTTGAATAATATACAATGGTCATGATCATTTTCCATCCATATAAACTAATATTTTGAAAAGAGGTATCAACTTTTAAGATAATGAAATGAGTAAAAGTTTCTAATACATTTTGTTTTCTAAATTGTTAATATAGACACTTAAAATTTACCTTATTATGTATTTCTTCAACTTTTTTTTGTTAGCTTTCTAAAGTTGAGTTTTCACAAAATTGATTAAAATCATTGGCTTGTTTGGTTGTTTCTGTCTTTGCTATGAGTTTGATCTTAGTATTGGCTTGTAGTGTAAGGTCTCAAACATATTAGACCGCAATTTGTGTCATTATAATAATTTGTTTGAAGTTATATTCAAGTTTTGTCAACAACCTATTTCTTATATGAAGCTCTAACAAGGATAAATCATTTGAATGGATTTGTAAGAAAATTCTTCACAACAAACTTACATAGATCAAATTATTTGTGAAAAAACAATTAGAAAAAGGATGTAATTACAAAAAATTAAATTTTGTGTTGTAGTAGGAGTTACCTTAGTTTACATCAAATTATTGAATGATAAATATGAAAATTACAATAATAAACATATTAAGCACAAATATATGTTTCCATATATTATTAGCATAGTCATTATTAAAATATTTTGATTCACAAAAATCTCAATCATGTATACCATTTGATAAGCTAACCATTTATATCATGTGATAAGTTGAATATAATTTTTTCTTTTTTACAAAACAAGCCAAATATAATTTTAAAGCTTAAGAAATTCATGAAACATGAATTTTATCCCTAAAATAAATAACATTTTTTTCTTCTTTTAGCACTAGTATTTTATTAACGTAATACATAGACTAAACATTTATTATATAACTAAAATTTATTATAAATTATACAAATAAATATTATCTTTGAAAATAAAATCTATATAATAGATAATTTTAAATATATGAATTATATTTTAGATTTATGATAATAAATAATTTATATCGTTTATGATAAGACTATTTTTATTTATTGTTAATTTATTTTAAAATATTAAAATTTAATTCTTAAATAATTATGATAAATAAAAATAAAATTAGATAAGAACTTAAAATAATTTCTAAAGCCCGTAGTCAAAGAAAAGTCTTTAAAAATATTATTGCGCAATATAACCATTCGTGTTTAATATATAGGCTAACACTATAATTTTTGTTGTATTGCATGCTATGCATTGTTTTGTGTTTTATGTTGTGTTGTGATGCTTTAAGTTTTTAAGTTGATATGTTGAGTTGTGTATTGTTTTTAGGACTTTAGGGATTAAGAAATCTTTAGAAATTGAGTTCTTTTGTGTTGTTTGTCTTCAAGTCAAAGTTGATCAAAAATAGGAGAATTATATAAGGTTTTAGAAAAGAATGAACTTCATAAGCTCATTTTAAACAATTTCTAAAGAGAAGTGTTAGACAAAAGTGTTCTAAAGTCGATCAAGTCCAATCTTCGATCCAATTTTCCAGAAGGTTCCTTTTATTCCCTTCATCACTAGTTTAAGCTATTAGTGTTGTGATTTGAGCTATGGAGCTTTGAATTGTAGAGAGAATTTTGCCGCTCGAAGTTCACAATTTTCTCTCATCCTTTTGTGTGTTTCCGTTTTTGAAGTGATTGAGATAAGGAATGTTTGTAAATTTCATTAATCTTGTGTTGTTAATGTTGATTCTTGAATTGTCTTGCCCATTGGTGGCAATTGTGTTGATATTAATGTTGTTGTGTCTTGTGTGGTGAAGGTAGGGTTTTGTGTTTTGGAACCCAACCCTAGTTTTTGTGTTATATCTTGTTGAATCTTTGATGCATGTTAAGTTTGTGGTGGCTTTTGTGTCGTTGAAGTTGTTATGAGAAGATGGTGTGGACTGCATGCAAGAAAAAAATGGTTTTGGTGGCCGAATTTGAAGAGAGGTGGCAAGTTCTATGCTAGAACCTTTTTCTCTTGCCTAGTGACAAGTGTAACTCGCTCAACATGCCTTCATAATTGATGAACATCAATTCAAAATCTGTGTTCTCAGTCAACGACATGATGGTCGACCAACAAGTATATGGTTTTGTAGGTGGCTCTTTTGGGTGAGCTCGCCTAGCGAGATATGAGTCACCCAATGAGATGTGACTTCTCCAAATGATGATCCTCAAAGAGCTTAGTAATATAAAAATTATTGAGGGATCACCCAACGAGACTACTTATCGCCTAGCAAAACTTTTGTTTTTTAATATAATGTATTGTTGTACCTATATAAGTTGCCTTGATGTATATATGTTAATAGTTGATCAATTTATGTGGTATGTTGGAGTATGTTGCTTCATAATGAATAAATCATGTTGTACCATGTTGAATTTGTTATGTTTTTAAGAGTTGTTATTAAATTAAAGTACGTTGAATGAGATATAGTTGACTAATTTATAACTAAACTTGAAATATGTTATGTTGATAAATGCTTGATGCATGTTATTATGTTGTAAAGTTAGTCTATACATCATGCAAAGATGGTCATCAAAAAATATATATAGTTATGAATGTATCAAAGTTATCGAAATGAAAAGAAACTACAATTTCTAACATAATGAAATGATGTTTCAAGATTATTGTTTTCAATTCTCCCCCTTTGTCATCAACAAAAAAGCTTTGGGGAGTTGATCGTCACTATCCGATTGGCCAGTCTTTCTTGGTAAACTCTTAAACCATGGAAAAAAAAGTTGTTCAAATCTTGAGCCCATCTGAGCTCTAAAGGTTCTAAGCTTAACGTTGATGACCTCACCAACATATTCAAAGGTGACAAAGTTGAACGATGAAGGCACATTTGACTTTTGAGACAAGTAGGGAAGCTGAGACAAGAGATGCTTCTTTGGTGGGTGGAGCTAGATAGCTTGCTCACCAAAAGCTTCAACCATCTAAGAATAGTCCCTTAGTGGAGGAGGCGCTTTTAACCTTAGGATGTTCACCAAATCCGAATAAGGATGAGAGCCTATTTCATCCAACAAGACAATGTATGCCCCAAGTTGTCCTTACATGAACAAAAGGAAGCATGAGAACCAATCATCAATGTCATGCCATATCCCAACAAGGTTGAGTTGAAAAACTCTCTAAGGATGATCCCTGAAGCTTATAGGTTGTGGATCTATGAATAGGCGTACATTGAAATCGATGCGAAGAAGTTCTGCCAACAACATATGTTTCATACTCTAAGCATGCATCTTCCAGTGGACTTATGAAGGAGGAAAAGAAGGAAATACCTACCCATTTCAATAAGATGACAAAGCGTATAGTGCATGTTGTCAACTTCAATGACACCTCTGTAGCATTCGTCTAAAAGAACTTGAGGCCCATCATAGGTGATGAGATAGCCATCTTGTACATCATTGTCGCCACTCTGTGACCCCTCTTAGAAAGGATTTGGTTGTGAGATAGAACTTTCCAAGTTGCCTCCACCAAAGATCCTAAACTGGTTCTTGACACGAAAGGAGTATGTTGAGAAATATGGCCCTCATTTGCATCCGATGCCTACATACTTACCATTTTTGGAAGCCCCATATCCACCATTCATCCGACTCTAAGATAGTTAAAGCCTCTTCTTCGGATGTTCCCTCAACTAGTGTTGTTACTAACATAGTTGCTCTTGAGCACCTCCTATATTAGTTGCACTACCAGTTTCTCCAACTGTATGACTTTGTAACATCTGCCCAGATCGACACCAAGTTCAACCAACCTTTTATAACAAATGTCTTTTACAATCACATAAAAATAAATAAATAAACAAGTGTAACACTTGGTAACTTAGGGTAATCAACATTTACATCTAATGTCCAACAATTTTTGAACGCCTTCG